GACTTACGTGTTTTGTTTTTGAAACCTTCTCTTTACTTACAGCCTCTACTTTCTTTTCTATTTCTTAATATCTGTGAATCACTTTGTCCTATTTTCTGCTTTGAAATGTTAGGCTGCTGTATTAAATTTTGATAAAGTTCCCTTCAGCTCTACCAGTTTTGTCTTTATGGTTATGTGACCTCTGAGGTCCCCTTCAAGTCTGACATCTCATGATTCCAACCAGGACCTGCTATCACAATTTAAGAAATAATCTCACCACCCCTTTTTGTCCAATCTCAAACACTCAGATAGCCCAAAAGTAATTGTATGACATTTGACTCAAAGTGAGGATTGTATCAACCCGGATACATTTAGCAAACCTTAGGAACACTGGAACTTTTCATTTCACAGGTGACCCATTTCCACCAGCCTGTTTTCATCTTTTGACCCAAAGCATCCTCTCTCCCTTCCTTTTACCCTGGCCTGAGTGAGTTTCCTCATTAGGAAGGAAGGACACAAAAGTGGCTAAGTTCTATTTCCGTATTTTGCCCCAAACCTCAACATTTGGGTTGTACATAAATGTTTGTGATTTTAAATGTCCATCTGTTTCTATGGGATTATTGGCATTCTCAATTCCTTACACTCTGTGATGGCATTGGGAGGAAGGAGGACAACTCAGCTTTTTGGAATTTATTGCTTGAAAGCTGCCCCATATGAGTATATGAGCCTGAAAAATCAAAGACAGGAGGAGTAGCAAGGTGGGGAAAAAAGCTAACGCCAACTTCACAAAACAGCACCAACCACTCTGTCTTGCTCTTTGGTGTGGTTGGGGGGGAATCGGTTATTACTATTGTTGTTATTGCTAATGTCATGGCTTCTAACCTTAGGTATCCATTTTTTCCAGTGATTAAGCATATCCATCCATCTTTATTCTTCTAACCCAAACATTTTACAAATAAGGACAGGGAGCAGTGTCTCACATCTGTAATTCTAACACTTTGAGAGGCCGAAGTGGGAGGATCCCTTGGGTCCAGGAGTTTGAGACCAACCTGGGCAACACAGCAAAACTCCATTTCTACAAAAAATTAAAAATTAGCCAGGCGTGGTAGTACACACCTATAGTCCCAGCTACTCGGGAGGCTGAGGCAGGAGGATCATTTGAGCCTGGGAGTTTGAGGCTGTGTTGAGCTATGATCATGCCACACCTGGGCAACAGAGCAAGACCTTGACTCCAAAAAAAAAAAAAAAA